ATATTAGTTACGTGAAAACATATAAACTGATTAAGCTGTTAAAAGACAGTGTTGAGGGGCACCTGGGTGGCTCAGTCAGTTAAGCGCCTGCCTTTGCCTTCCGTTTGGGTCATGATCCCAGGGCCCTGGGATGGAGCCCTGAGTCTGAGTCCAGCTCCCTGCTCAGCGGGGAGTCTGCTTCTCCCTCTCTGCCCCACCACCCCTCCCCTTCATTCTCCCTCTCAAATAAATAAATAAAATCTTAAAAAAAAAAAAAGTATTGATACTAGATTTAATTAAAAAAATCTAGCTATATTATAAAAGGATAATAAAACATACCACAGATCAGTGGAAAAAGAATCACTGAGGTAATACTAACCAAACAAAGGCTGAAGTCAAATCTCAAAATCAGTAAAGGTTAAGGATGTTTCTTTCTCTGATGATTAACACAATATGATCAGTTCTAGATCTAGTGCTAGATGGCATCAGAACATTCTCACACCCAATCTTTGTATGGCTGACTCCTTTAGGTTTTTGCTTAAATATCAACCCCCTTTTCTTGATAAACTAATATAAATAAAGCACCTTTCTTAACCATCTATTCTAAAGTCCTTTGTTACCCTCTATTACATATCCTATTTCTTTCATTGAATATTTAATTACAAATTATAATTATATGCTGAATGCTTATTTATTGTCTGTTTTCCCAAATGTACTATAAACTCTACACAGGTAGGAACCTATCTGTTTTGAAAACTCAGTTAACTCATTTTTCACAGCATCTTATTTAAGCAACAGTGTAATGAAATCCAGAGAACTCCTTCTCAGTATTTAAAATGGAGATGAAGTCCTATATTAGTGATCTTGAGACAGGATGCAGGTTCTAAGGGTACAGCAGTTATTTAGTCACGTCTAACATGGGTACAGAGGGGAGGAGAGATCTTGGTCATATATTATTGAAAGAATTATTATTATTATTTTTTTAAGATTTTATTTATTTATTTGAGAGAGAGAATGAAAGAGAGAGAGCACAAGAGGGGGGAGGGTCAGAGGGAGAAGCAGACTCCCTGCTGAGCAGGGAGCCTGATGCGGGACTCGATCCTGGGACTCCAGGATCATGACCTGAGCCGAAGGCAGTCGCTTAACCAACTGAGCCACCCAGGCGCCCCTTATTGAAAGAATTATTAAAAGAATTTGAATAGCTAACTCCAGATGTTACTAAATCTATTTTCTTCCAGCATGAATAACATAGTCTGGTTTCATATATGCTTTCAGCTATTCTTTAATACTTAGCATTAGCATTTAACACAAATACAATTCCCTCAAAGATTAAAAACAATGGAATGATGCTGAATTCAGAGCAGGTATTATAGAAATAACTAGTATAAATTTGAGCAGAGTATCAAAACTCATCAGAAAACTCAGCTGATCCTTTTATTTTACTGAAAGGTAATGGGTGTGTATGGCCATTAACCCAAACAGACCCAGTTGGCCTCGAAGCAAGTAGCTGGAATGAGAGCTGAGTAGTGTCAATAGGATATCCATGAAGGAAGAGGTCAGGTTGGGCCTAGTCTATATGCTGCAACTCTTGCTTCAACTGTAATTTTGCAAACTATAAATAAAAGTTAACATCGCGAAGATAAAGTTATAAAAAGGAGGAAAAACACTTGAAAGCTACATGTGCTCCTTTCCCCATTCTCCTAGATATTAGGCATCTCATGGGGTACCTCTTTTATATATGACTTTTTCTTTTCCAGTAGAATTCAAAAGGTAAGTTGGAGAAAATACTGCTTCGGTCTGTGTCAAAGAATATGCTACATGGAATAAGGGGGAAGCAACAGATTTAAATTTCAGAAATGCAGGATAAACTATTAGAAAGGTCAACTGTATAATTTCTTGCCATTCTAAAGAATAAAAACACTATTTTGGTAGAATTTCATTGTAGTAATATTAAATCAAGTTACTTAAAATTATACTATCTGTTCCAGTCTTCCTACTCTGTTATGACGCTAGAAACATATGAAAGTATATTTTGTAGTGCTACAATGGGAAGGGATGGCCTGTAAAGCCAGTTAGACTGTGTTTGATTTCTAGTTTTGCCACTGAGTATGTGATTTTGAACAAAACCTCCCTGAGTTTCAGTTTCCACATTTGTAAAGTGGGAACATTACTTACCTCCTAGGGCTGTTTGAAAATGAAATGAGATAATAAGCTCAATAAACGGAGTTTCCTCCTCCTCCTCCCTTGACCTATAGAATCAACGCTGTTGAATAGAACTCTTTGGGAAGATGGAACTACTCTATAAAGTGCACTAACATGGTAGCCATGTAGCTACTGCGTAGTGGAAATGTGGCTAGTGTGATGGAGGGACTCAATTTTAACTATATTTAATTTTAATTAACTTAAAATTAAAAAGCCACATACGGTTTATGGCTACCATACTGGACAGCAGAACATACGGCCATGAAAGCGTGTCTGAGGCTTTAAATCCTTATGGGAACCAGAAGAGGATATAAAAACAACAGTAAGATTCTCCAGAAGTTTATCCCAGAACGCAGTTTACCTGAAGTACAGATAGGCTTTGTGGTTAAATATATCTGGATTTGAACGCCATGTCTGTATGACCCAAGCCAATTTACCCAAAATACCTACACCTCAGACTTCCCATCGGAGGACAGAAATACTTACTAACCTCACTGAGGCATTGTGGAGATGACAAATTAATGGATCTGATGTAGTAGGTGCTTAACAAATCTTAGTATTTCCTTTCTCCTCCCATATTCATTGTTTCTTATATGACCACTTTCCTCACATGCTGGCCAAGTGCCTGAAGTGTTACTAAATTTAATGATGGCAAATGTAGTTAATGCCAACTGTTTGCCAACATGTGTTTACTCCACTAAATTGTCAATATTTAATTTTTTAAGAACTTGAACTTTAAAAATGACTAAGAAAACAGCATCTTCGACATAGGAAAAAAACCTCACAAAAAAACTTTTAACTCCAAGACCAATACTGTGAAATGGGAGTAGATATTGGCTAGGCATAGAAACGAGGTTTTCTGGCTTCTTACCTCATTCTTTCAAGCTACTAAGATTGTCAGGCTAAGATCACTGCTTCTGAATTATTCTGTTACAAAGTGCTCAACTGACTTGAGGATGAAAATAAAAATTAAAACCCAAACTGAACTTATATCTGTTTCATAGTCAGAAATTTGGCTTTAAGACTTTTGGAAAAAGTGTTACATCTCCTATTAATGTGAAATATCAACATATTCCAAGCCCATAGATGATCTGGCCACTTTCAAGTTCCTTTCCATAACATAACATTCCAAACATCTGTACTAGGTTGATCAATAAATACTTAGAAAATAACTAATTACCCCTAGGCTGTTCATCAGGACCTGGGAATTGGTGGTAGCCAACCTAAAACTGACTTCTCCCCCAAAAAAGAAAAATAAATAAAACTGACTTCTCCCTTGTTATCTGAGGAGCCCCCTCAATGCCCAAGCCACATGAAGGCTATCTACATCACATCTATGACTCTCATCTTAATTTTTAATTTCTGTTGCAGAACATTTGCCACTGGAGGCTGCTAAACTGTGTCTAAAACAGCCTTTCCTAGCTATTCCCAGACAGTGGCAAAGCATAATGTGTGAGGACTAATATGCTTCTTTGCACTAATACTTTTGTTTGTTTCATCATCAGTTTAGATAGGGGCTACAAAAGCAGATCTTTTAGTTGGGTAAGTGCTATATTAAAAATCTAAGCCTGTACACAATTTTTAATTCCTGCACATACATTTTAATATCAATGAGGAAAAAACTTCAGGTACAAAATACTGTGTAAATCCTTGATTTAAAAATAATTAACTATTTAATTTGGTCTGTCCATTTAATTACTGTACTTTGGCCCTATTCCCTATTCTCTTGTCCCATATACTTTAAACAAAAAAAAGTATTAACCGTTTCAGTGGAGTTAAGTAGGTAGACATCTGCTTTTCATATTTATACAACCAGAAGCATTATCTCAGACTTGCTTAAACTGAATATAGTTCTACACACAAAAATACAAGCAACTAAGAAATAGTTCAACACATAAAATCTCCAATTACTTATCTCTATTCCACTTAACAGCAAACCAAAGCACTTCTAAAATATATTCCAACCACCAAGCACTGAAATCAGAGGTACATATTTGCAAGTGCCAATAAATCTCATGTACCAACAGATTAAATCAAGAAGAAAACCAATTTTTCTAGACTTGCCAACCCCCTTGACTTTAAGGCTTGGATGTACTCTTTCGAACACCAGGTCACTCTAGGTCCCTAATTTTATTATTTTTTTTGTAGTCACTTTTTTAAAGCTTAGAATTAGTTACTACATAATCAAGATGTACAACGTTACTCAATTTTACTGTATACCAGCAGGTTCCATGAGTTTGAACTGAAGTTTATTGGCATAATCTGGAATGTATGCTATAACTACATTGTAAAGGAAGGGTTTCTAACCCAACTACCCTACACACACGGTTCTCTGAAAGCAAAGTTCTAAAAATCTTCAACTTGTAGAACTGGTGCACTGGGGTGTGGATTTATAGCTCTTCTAAGTTTCTTCTGCTCAGTGAAAACACAGTAAGTCATTATTGACGTGTATTTGAATACTTGCCTTCCTACTATCAAAAAAAAAAAAAAAAAAAGGAAAAGAAAGAAACCAGACAGGCCCGCCTGCTGGGTAGTTGAGCTCCACCCCCAAAACTCAGGGAGACTATCCTCGCCAGTCTTTATTAAGATCTACATTCTGGTCTGTCCTCATCCTACATACATTGTTAATCTTAGAAAGCATCTCCATCCTAAAACTGGTTTAAAAAAAGAGTCTGAGGTGTTGCTTATATGCCCAGACTTCACAAGCTAAACGGTGGGGACTTGGAACGACGTGTACCTAAAGGTGGCCTTATGGGGAATAGTAGAGAAAAGGGAGATCAGTGGCAAAATAGAGTAAAGAAGGGAAAGCTGTGAATTACCTGGCCTACAACTTTGGGTCCCTACTTTAGATATCTCCGGTCCCTCCTGCCCCCACCCATTCCAGGAATCAGAAAGCTCAGGGAAGGTTGGTTGTGGGCCAGCACGGGCGACAACTGAAAGGATTTTGAAAAATTCTGCACAAGAAAAAGCTTCGTGGAGGAACGGGATGGTAGAAAGATGAAAGCTGAGAGCTGGTTCCTGGGGCGACACTGAAACCCGGACTTCGGGGGGGGAAAGCTGGAGGTGCCCGCGGCGGGGGGTGTGTGTGGGGCGGGCCGTCCCAGGTGCAGCAGCCAAGGCGCAGGGGTCCAGACGTCGAGAAGGCTCGGAAACTAACCCAGTGCCCAGGGGCCTCCCCATCAGAAGGGGGTCGCACCTGAGCTGCAGGAGGTCCTCCCCCTCCCGTTCCAACTCCTCCTCACCCGGGCCGTAGAACTTGCTGCCTTTGGTCACGTCGAAGACTTTCCCATTGACCGCGAGCAGGATGCGCGGGGTGCGGGACCCGTCGTACTGGCGCAGCTGCTCCAAGCTGAAGTCCCGCTTCTTCATGCGAGGCAGAGAGGCAGCGGGACTCTCCTCGCCCGCTCCGGCCCCGGCGCCCAGACCCCGCCGCCCCCAGCGCACCCACAGCCGGTAGGCCCCCAGCAGCACCAGCGCCACCAGCGCCACGTTCAGCAGCATTTCCCCGCCCCCCGTCAAAAGCGCCAACACTGCTGCCGCCCAGCCGCCCCCTTCTGTTGCCGCTCCCGCGCCGCTGGGGCTCTCGCTGCTGCCGTCGCTGCTGCTCTCACTGCCACTCCCCAGGGTGCCTAGCTTCACGTCCCCATCACCCGCCGCCATCACTGCCCGCCAGCGCCTTCCTCCTCCTCTCCGCCCCCTGCCCTCCCCAACCCCACGGCCAACCCCGCCCATCTGGGGGCCTCCCAGCCAATAACATGAGGAGAGGGGGCGGGGTCAAGCCTGCTCTCCATTGGGTGTTGACGGGGTAACGAATTCTTGGATCTCTCCCTCCTCCTCCCTTCTTTAGCAGGCCGCGCTCGCGTGCGACGCCCCGCCCACCTCGCCCCACACTTCCCTGCTTTCGCTCCTCGCCTCCGCTTGCTGAAGTAGAAGAGGGGGGCGGGCCTGAAGAAAAGATGCAGCGCCGGCCGCGCGCGCGCAAAGGCCGGGTGAGACTACAGCGCGTGCGCGGGTGCCGGAGCGCCACGCGCTCTCCTTTCCTTTGCACCCCTTCTGGGAGGCTGGCTCCGCCCCGTCCCTCGCTATGCGCGTGCGCCCCGGAATCGCTGCCCTTCCCAGGCCGGGGTTCGCGTCCGCGAACTCCCGTCTCTTCGCTGTCACTCCGCACGGGGACTTCACGTGCGCCGAGGCCGCCTCGGAGGCGGGGTCTGGTTGGGTCGCTTTTTCGAGGGCGCCGGTTGGTGGCTTGTAGGAAGCCACGACACAGTTTTAATTGTTGGAGCAAACTACTGAGCGGGGTCTCTTTTTCACCCGGGCGCCGTCGCGCCTGTCCGGAAGCCTGGAGCGTGGGCGCGCGGACAAAGCTACCACCCAAAAGTTTTGGCGACCGGCTGGAGTCTTCCTGGCGCAGAATGAGTGCACGGAGCCCTCGCCGGGGTTGTTTGGCATCCGGAGTCTACTTGCTGTCTTCGGTGGCACCGAGCAGCCGCTTCCCGGGTGGTTTTGGTCACGGCTGCTCTTGTAGAGTTTTCTTTCAGGTTTTAGACTAAAGGTGTTATTCCGATAGGGAAGTTGATAGAATAAGGTGGTCCTTCTGTTCTCTCATTCAGCTTTATTTACAGCTTCTTTTTATCTCCTTAGGTCTTGTCTTTTTAGACTCCCAGGTCCTTAAAAAATCTGGCGTAAATGTCACCTCTGAAGCCTCATTCTGGGCCCTTTACTTAAAGCACTCAACTCGTTTGACTTCCTCCTTCCTGCTCTAGTTTGTTTTCTTTATTGTCAGTGAGTTCCCTCACACCCACCTCAAGAACAACCTGCTGTGAACTACTGGTGTGATGAGTGAATGAAGGTGTATTAAGGGAGTAACAGTTTAGGTTTAATCTTGAGGAACCGGTGCGATGGAGGAGAGACATGGGCAAGCAATGGGGGCGTGTGATATGGACTAAAGTACATTAGGGAAACGGCAAGTGGTCCATTTAAGGTTTAAGTAGTCAGGAGGACCAAAGTCTGGAAAACTAGGTTGGTAGTCTTTAGTCAACGGATAGGCTTGGACTTAATACTCCCCGTTTTGGAGGAGCCATTGAAGATTTTACAGCAGCAAATGACAGGATCAGAACTTTTCTAGAGAGATTATCTACCAGGGATATTAAGGATTGGAATGAAAAAAGAATGGAAAACAAGTTAGTAGGCTACGGTATTTGTGCAAGAAATGAGGAAACTTAGAACTAAGTGGCATTAGAGCAGGGGTCTGCAAGCTTTTCTATAAAGGGCCAAACGTTAATATTTTAGGCACTGTCTTTTGTAATTAGTTATCTGTCTTAAAATAAGAAAGCAACCGTAGAAGATACTTAAAGGTATGAGCATGATTGTATTCCAATAAAACTTATTTATGGACACTGAAATTTTAGATGTCATGAAATACTGATTTTTTTCAACCATTTAAACATGTAAAAACCATTTTTTTTTTTAATCTCCAGAGGTATAAAAAGAGTCTACAGGCCATAGTTTGCTCACCCCTGCTTTAAAGGTAACTTTCTTGAGGCAGAGTGAACAGCATTTAGTTGGGAAAAGTAAGTGTCCATATAATCTAGCCTCCAATCTAGAATACTTCTAGAACTGAAAGGGGGCACTATATACTGGGAGAACGGGATTAAAATTAGATTGTCCCAGGCAAATCTGAGTGAATAGTCATACTGAGGTTAATGGTTAGAAGCCAAAACTGCTTTAGGACTTGGTAACAGGAAATGCCAGTGATGGAAACAGGATGATTGGGAAGAAATTGGTTTTGGGGAGAAGATGGATGCTTGTAGCAGTACCAGGTGTCATACAGTTGGGATGACATCAACAGCAGGAAGAAACCACTCCAGAGGTTTCATAGCAGGCCACTCCTTATATGTTATTGACCAGTGAGTCACTATTCCCTGAAACAGTAACTGACAAGGAGCTTGAGACTACCATGATTGGTAAGAGTTTATCTAGCTTTTGGCAGGTTTTGTGCAGGATTGTGGCATGCATTTTAGCATCTCTGGTCTCTTCCCAGTAAATGTCAGTAGCACACCTCTGGCATTGGGGCACCAAAAAAACCAACCCTCTTCCCACCCCACACACTCCCTAGAAAGATGATGCTAGTTGAGTGGTTAAACCAATTGGCTTAAACCTATCAGGATTTACCTTGGAGCTCAATTATATATGTGTAGATTTCTTTTCCTTGATTGGTTTGGAGGGAAGAAAGGAATTGAGCAGTATTGTCAAGAAAGTAGGGTGGGGAATGTTGGGTAGGTAACCAACCTTCTCTGCCATGGAAGTAAAAAGTTAAACATTTTCTTTTATATCCTTTTTCTTTTTTAAAAGATTTATTTATTTGAAAGAGAGAGAGAGGGCACAGTAGGCAGAGTGGCAGGCAGAGGGAGAAGCAGGCTCTTGCTGAGCAGGGAGCCCGACATGGGGCTCGATCCCAGGACCCTGGGATCATGACCTGAGCCGAAGGCAGCAGCTGCTTAACTGACTGAGCCACCCAGGTGCTCTTCTTTTATATCCTTGATAAATATCTCAACTCCTCCACACTTGAACCTCCTCCCCCCCCTTTTCTTTTCAGTTCTCTTAGCAACTTATTCTAAGCCTCCTGAACTGGTCTAGAAGGGAGTTCTCCCCGTCCCCCCGCCCCCACCCCTGCCAGGTAATTCTCCCAGTAGGATACTCCTGCTTTGAATACTGTAATTTTCTGACTCATGGCTTGCTCTGTCTTTCCCTTCCTCATTCTACATGAAGGGACTAGTGCTGTATACTGATTTCCTTTACTCAGGCACCCTATCTCCAGTGGTGCTCAGCTATTTAAAATGAAATAACTCAGAAATCTCAGTTAGCAGTCAAAGCTCTCCATAAATCCACAAATGGCTTTCCCTGCAGCAAACGTAATCTACTTTACACATAACTTTGATTACATTGATGTGTTTCCCTTTACAATACCTACTCCCTGTTCTCCCAATTGCTAAATTTATTCCCCACTTCAAGACTTTATTTCCTCACTGAGAGTGACCTTCTTTCTCCTTTCCAACCATCCAAATTCTGTTGTCTTTCATTTCCTTCTCTAATTCTACCTCTGTTCCAGGCCTGTGACTATATCAGCTCACATTGATCTCTTTGAATTTTTACAAATTCCTTGCCTATACCATCCATTTTATTTTATGTTCTTGACTGTTCTGTTCTTGAAACTCCTTTGGATCCCTAGATGTCTCCTTTTGCCTTTGTAGATGTTTCTTTTCTGAGTCTTTTCCACCTTCCTTTACTTCCTTATATCCATCCCTACCTTACCTAGAAGTCATCTACAAGCATCTGTTGTTATCTATGTTCTGTTCTTCCCTTGTTACTCTTTTTTTTCTTGACATTTTATCTACTTAGTGATTTACTTGTCTTCTCTATGGAGGATGTACCTCTCCAGCCCTGACCTTTCTCTGGGAGATAATAGTACTAGCCACCAAATATTTCCATTTCTTTTCTACACACATAGTAGAATTGCATTTCTCTAGCCTTTTGAACTCAGTGTGGCCAGTGAAATGTGATTGGAAGTGATCTGTGTCACTTCCTAGTAAAAGCTTTAAGAATGCACAGTTTCTCATGCCCTCTTTCCCTTTCACACAGTGAGGGAATGTTTTAGTTATCTATTGCTGCATAACAAATCACCCCAATCTTAATGACTTAAAACAGTAATTGTTTTTACTATTGCTAATGGTTTTGTGGGCTCATGGGCAGTTGTCTAATCTTTCTTGGGATCTCATGTTGTTCCAGCCAGGTATTTTCTGGGGCTGGAGATGCTAGAATGTCCAAGACTTTCTACTTCCCATTGTTATCCGAGGGCCTCGCTTTACATGGCTTCTCCAGCAGAGTAGCCTGATTTCTGACATGGTGGGTCAAGACTCTCAGAAGTGCAAAAGCTTCTAGGTCTTGTAAGTCTTAGGCCTAGAAATAACACAGTCTGTTGGTTAAAGCATTCACAGGGCCAGCTCAGTTGCAAAGGGTGGAGAAATAAACTCCACGTCTTGATGGAGATTGAGGAGAAGAATGACAAAGAATTTGTGGCGTTCTTTAATTTGTCACCCCAACAATGTTTCAAATGGTGGCTGTTTCTGTCAGTGAGGGTCCTAAAGTCAGGACAAAGTGGAAAAGAGCCCTCAGCTAACATACACAGTTGTATGAATGAGAAACACATCTCTGCTGTTCTAAACCACTGAGATATTTGGGGTTGTTTGCTAGCAAACAAAGCCTAATCTACACTAATACAAAAATTGGTACTGGAAGTAGGGTACTGCTGCAGCAAAAACCTACAATATGTGACATATCCATATACGTATATGTTACAAATTTTAGTGGTTGGTCATTAGGCAGCATCCAGCTCTGATTCACTTATGAATCTGCCAGCAAATCTAGCTCAGAAATTTGTGCTCAACAAATATTTCTTAAATAAGAGAGCCTATGTCTTATAATTCTTTTCTATTTCTTTATTTTAGGGGAAAACACTTCTTTCCCACATCAGATGTTTCTTGAAGTATGGAGTGGGTGCCACTACCATAACTCTCAATACTCTATTCCAGTGCTCCTAGCAAGTTTCCTGATGTGTAAGTTTGGTGTGTGCAGCCCACCTTCTTCCTCTCCCCTTTCCCATAGAAGTCAGGCCTCCCACAGAAGGTGTGCCTTCTGCTCTGCTGCTTCATACCGTAAGTTTCACAGGGTCCTGCCCATGCCAGGGGATGTTTGGGGTAAGCTTAGCAAGATAGGCCCCTTGGGGGAAGGGGAGCTTCAGTTTTGGGAGCTAAGTTCATTGCCAGGGAGTGACAAAACCTGTTGTTTGAACTTTAATTCACAAGATCATGAAAGTTCAGTGTTGGACATCAATAATTTTAGATTTAATAGGAAGTTAGTACTGATTACTTTGGGCTATAACTTAGAAGAACAAGATAATTTAATATCTGAACTTTTCATTTCTCCCTGGAAAATTCATATTGGGGAGGGTCATAATCAAATTGAGCACATCTTTTTGGCTTTTAATTTTTAGAGTATTTTTATGTTATTGTTTGATCCTTTTAGAACCTCTGTTAATGTTGAAAAAGGTAGGGGGACATAATTTGAGATGGAATAGAATAGATTGTCAATTATAGCCTTGGGTACAGAACAGCATTGGAGCTGATTTAGTGATATGTTGTTCTGACCCATTCAAGGCATTCTGGGAACAAAATCTACACTTTACCAGTGACTCCAGGAGATCCCACAAAAGAGGTGAACATTGTATTGGAGAAGTGACCTTATGAAGGTAGGAGCAGAAGGTGGGAGCAGGACTGCCCTGACTGCTGACTTCTTATCCAAGGAGGATAATCATATCCCAAGTTGATCTCAGTGGGTAAGCTGAAGGGGTTAAGGCAATGGTCTTCATACATTTTGCTGACATAACCCCCAAATAATTTTTAAGTTGACATGTAAAATTTTTTTGTCCTAAGTTTAGTTGCAAAAGATGTAATTTCTGGTTAAAGTAAATACGAATATTTTAAAATAAAGAAGTTTAAAATACATTTAATGAAATTAAATTCCATAGAAATTGAATACTCATCATCATCTATTTTTACAGAAATTTACATTATTTTTTCTCTTTGAGTTTGTATTTTCATTCTACTTCCCCACAAAAGGTTTAAAAATATATTTTATGTTCAAATATATTTTATTGCTTACCTTATCATTCTTTTCTGCAATAAAAATTTGTTTATAATTTAAACAATTTTCTATTACTGAAAGGTTCTAAGTGTCAAAAACTTTTGGATTGAATTATTATTACAATTATTATTAGTACATAATTGATCATAACTGTTATAAATTTTTTTTTTTTTTTAAGATTTTAGTTATTTATTTGAAGAGAGAGACACAGCGAGAGAGGGAACACAAGCAGGGGGAGTGAGAGAGGGAGAAGCAGGCTTCCCGCAGAGCAGGGAGCCCGATGTGGGGCTCGATCCCAGGACCCTGGGATCACGACCTGAGCCGAAGGCAGACGCTTAACGACTGAGCCACCCAGGCGCCCCCTGTTACAAATTTTTATACATCATTACTAAAGAGAACTAAAATTTTATTGGAAATATGTCTCTCAATGAAATGGTTGGAGCTCCCCCCCATCATTAGTTCATGAATGTTATTTTTGTTAGGAGACAGAATAGGAAAAGACAGAAAAAGATAGGACTATTAGGTATAGGGCTTACCAAAAATGATTAAAATACAATAGAAAACTATATATCTAAATCTACATAAAAGATGGGGATGAATAATGAGGTGAGATGGTTAACAAGTGACAATGAACAGTCGTGGGAGTAAATTAGTATAGATTTACTGTATTCAATAATCGTTAGGTAAAAATTAATGAAATTAATGAAATATTAATGAAAATATTTTCTCCTATGAGTCTGTATAATTGCTCAAGAATACAGAACATTGACTTACCTCTGATATATGTATGTTTCTTTTACATGTAACATTGATCTGTTGATGGAAATTTGGAACTTTTTAACATCCTTTTCCTTAAAATCATCTGAAATATGTAACTGAGACATAGAATGAGCCTTTACATCAAGTTCTTTCTCATTCCTGAGGCAGGTGTGCCTTGTAGCTGACTGGTATTTACCAGAATATTTTCCACAAATCATCCATACTTGAATTCTGAGATAGATATATGAAATCTTGCTGTGAGTTTGTTACCCAGTTGAAGTAGGGCTCAACCTCCTTCAGTATTTCTCTTGGCTATCTCAACAGTGTTCTTTGGCATTATCAGGGAATGGAAGAGGAAATGGCATTGGGCAAAAATGATCATGACTCCTGCCATCCCACTCTACAATGTAGATAAAACTCAGAACACCCCAGGAGCGTCTGGGTGGCTCAGTCAGTTGAGTGTCTGACTCTTGGTTTCAGCTCAGGTTATGATCTGAGTCATGAAATCAAGCCCTGCCTCAGGTTCAGCGTGGAGTCTACTTGGGATTCTCTGCCTTTCCCTTTGCCCTTCCCCCACACATGCTCTCTGTCTCTCAAATAACTAAATAAATAAATAAAATCTTTAAAAAAAAACTCAGAACACCCCAACACAGACCAAAATACCCAATTTCTAGCACCATGCTTTTCTCTTTTTTTTTTTTAAAGATTTTTTTTTTTAATTTATTTATTTGGCAGAGAGATAGCACAAGTAGGCAGAGTGGCAGGCAGAGGG